ATATTAATTTTTGTTGTTGTTACATATTGTGTAAAAGAAAAGTCATGTAATAATATATGCGTGTGTGAGTATCAGCTGGGTTTACGGAAGTAAGAATTAATTTCACAGAATTGCATGGATCGTAATAATGGTTCTTGAATAAATCCTTGATTCGTTTTTGATTTGATTTTAAAATAAAAGACTTGACAATTTGTAGCTACGTTAAAAATTCGTATCATAATTTATGTGCGTAAGCACATTCGCTTCACCGTTAGTTAATTATTATCAAGGATAAAAATCCTTGAAAGGAAAGGAAAGTAAGGGTAGCAACCCCTTGAGCAATAATCTTGACCTTGACATATATTGTGACTGAACAACATTCTAAAGCTGTTTTCAACATTCTAAAGCTGTCGATCGTTCTTTATTAGAAAGTTACTAACAAGACAAGGTTTATAAATAGATGCTTTTTTGAAATTATGAGTTTCATGTATCCATTAAATGATTTACATATCAATTAAAAATTTTTTTCATATATGTTGACTATACTTCATTAACTTTATACTTTATCTTTCTAACACATTCACTTTTTTTTCAAATGCATCATTCGAAGATGGAATTTTATTTCACGTGGAAAGTTGAAAACCTATGTGAAACAGTACAATATATGTATATAGACGTAACGCATACGCATTTTAACTATCATGACCCCCCTGAGAGAGTTCCGCCTTCCCTGCGGGGAGGAAGGGGGCTGCACCCGAAAGATCTAACTTAATCCATAGTGACAGTTAAATAATAGTGACAGTTAAATAATATATAGTATAATATTATTAATGATAGGTAAATATGTGAAAAAAATCACTGTAACAAGTTTCATAAATAGATAGAGTTAGATTGATATTTAATCATCACTGTGATACGGGTTAAATTTTTTGGATGCAGGAGTTGTCCCCCTTACTTTCATTTTTGCCATTATTAAATTGTATCATAAATATATATTACAAAATAATTTTGCATTATACGACATTAATATTTTTTATGATGTTATCATGCTATATCATAAAACGTTATATATTTTTAAATTTACCATAATTCTCAATTAATCCTTTAAGTTATATGTTTTAGAATTGAGCAAAATAATTTCTGTTGTATATTTCCTTTTTAATAATATTGATATGAAATGAATAAAAATATAATCACATATATAATATATGATATACATATATATAAAATTTTGTATCAAATTTATAATCTACATGTAATAAAATAAAATTTATATCATAATTCTGTTCTCAGTTATATAATATTTTTACATTGCAGAATACTTTTGTGTAATGTGCAAAAAATTGTATATATTGTTGCAAAACTTTTATATTACTTATTTGTGCAATATGATAACAAGATAATTAACAATGATAACAAAAAGACAAAACAGAAAGGATTTGCATACAAAGAAAACAATGTTTACAATTTTGCAAAGGTTTGACATCGATGTAACAAACGATTTTACAATATCGACGGCTACGACGTGTCGCACACGTGACAATACAGCTTTACAAACGTGAAAAACAATAGTTTTTCCGTCGAGACTGGAAATTTTATCCATGTATAATGCATCAACTATATCTATATATATAGAGCATAGACTTGGCGATAACAGCATATGGAAAAAAATTATAGTTTTCAGTTAATAATTCATGCAATTACGATCAAATAATGCTCATTATTTTTTATTATGTATAATTATGTAGATAGTTAAGTAACACCGCTGTTAACTTAAATCTTATTGAAGAGTATAACATGAATTAAAATTAAATTATATAATTCTTGAATCTTCTTGTTATCCTCGAGCCAAGTCGTTATCCTCGAGCCAAGTTGTTTTCACGTCAAGTTTATTTATAAAAACACATGTTTAAATTTGCATCGCAAGATTATTAGTATTCAAGATTAAGAAGATTAGTATTCAAGACTAAAAATTACTTGTAAATGATTGAACGTGATCATGACAATTGGAAAATATTTTATGTAACGATTCATTGATAATGATTATTCCGCGGGTTATAAAAGCCACGAACTTGTGCAATGTTTCAATCGATGCTATCCAAAGCTATCTATATAGGAAATTCTTAATAAATAATAAATTCTTTTCTTGTTTGTTTTTCTCCTTTCAAATACACAAGATAATAAATAATATTCTAAACCTACAGATATTCAAGTATTGGAATGCTAATTGGAATGCAATAAATAATCTGAAGATTCAGATTATTGAACATCCAAATGCGATCATCCAAATTTATAAAAATTCAATTATCAAAATTCGCCAGTTTCGCACGATTGGACTACCATTCGCCATTCTTTCTGCGAAATTTGAAAAATTACTTTCCAATCGGATATTCTTTTACCGCTGGCGATCGCGATTGCGATCGCGATCGCGGAGATTTGCCGATCTGGCCGTTGCATCTGGATTCTATCTGAAATCAAGTCCGTCGATAGATTATCGGTTGTCTTTCAATGAATTGCCAGGGCGACCGAGATGCTCGCTTGTCAGTTAGCGTCAGTTAGCGTCAGCCCGCCCATATTTCCCAAATTTCCGCTTCAAGTAGAGCTTACGCGCGAGCGAATACGCGCCACGGCGCTGAGACGCGGTCTGACTGTTCTGATCTTGGGGAACCCAAAATCGCTTCAATCGTGGATCGCGTAGGCGAAGCCGGCCAGGCGGCGGTCACCAAGCACCGGAAGTCCCGGCGCAAGAAATCGAAGAACGCTGCCGCCGCCGTTGCTGCTGCCGCCGTCGCCGCTGCCGGCGACTCCAAAGTGCGTTTCTCTGCGTTTAAAGCGCAGACTTCCTTCCCTTGTGTTTCCTATCACCTCCTCTTCTACAAATACAAATTCTACTAATTCGCGAGAAGATCGTATATAGATCTTCTTTTTCGGAGAGATTTCGAGGATTTGCCTTTTCAAAGGTCCAAAATTGTTCAGCTGCCAGAGAATTTACGGAATCATTTATTAAATCGAAATTGAATTGCCAAGTTTCATTGCCAAATTGCCGGAAATATACGGTAAAAATTTCAAAAATTTTGAAATTTATCTTCTTTCTAGTTTTGAACGTCGTCGAAATCTTTCCGAGTTTTCTTCGCTTTTCCGAAAGCGGGCGTTACATTACATTATTTTCACGCGTAAATAAGACTTGATAAAAGAAAAGAAAAGAAAAAAAAAAAAAAATACAATCATCAATTTATATATCTTTCGAGGCGAAGGAAATGGCGAATACCTGCACCGAATTCCGAAAGGAGATACACAAGTCCTTCGTCTTGCCGGCGATGCAAACAACACCGTCATACTCCTTGACGACGATACAGAACCAGACGAGCTCGACCACGGCGATGCGACCCCGATCTCTTTATACCGCACACAATTATCATCCTCAAACCGAGGATAGCAATTTTCAAGTACAGCTAATTCCTGAACTTTGTTCTTGATTTCTGAGATTTATCTTTATTTCAAGCGTACAATTTTATAACAACTCTCTCTCTGATTATCTAAATGCTAAATGGTAAGAATGATTTCAAGAAATTGAAATCGATTACCCCGGAGAGATAATTGATGATGACTAGTCGAAGCAAATTTGATAAAGAAAGCGAATGACACACGATGACACACACAAAGAAAAAGATACTACAAAATCTACATATCTTATACATTCTATGATTACTCTCGTTGTATACAAGATTCTTTAGAATTTAATTATCGATAAAAATTCTGAAGTTACAACAGTTATGCGCGAAGATAAGATAAAGATAAGGTAAAGAAAAAAAGAAAAGAAGAGAATCTTTTTTAGGGAAACTTGAGGAACTATTAAGAGCACGTTTACTCGGACCGAAGTTGATCTTCATCTTAAAAAATATTAAACTTGTAGAAATTTGTCATCGTTACCTCGTGTTCCCTTATGACGATTAATCAATGAGCTTCTTCCGGATGATGATCCTTGTAGCGATACAACGAGCTAGCCAAGTACTTCGAGCCCCCGGCTGAACAGTGGAGCGGTCTGGGTGGTGTAACCGCATACTCCGGATCGGCGGCGATCTGGCGGCAAGCTAGGAAGTCGATCGGCGGGCCTTATTACGCGGCCGAGGAAGCCTCCATCTACACGGAGAATTGGCGGGAACATGACGCCGACATCGGTGTCGGTGTCGGCGGCGCCATCGCCACCCCCCATGGTACCATATCGTTGAGACTCTACAACAGAATACGCGTAGACATAACTATTGACCGTGCCGTCAGAGTGATCAACTTCAAGGTGACTATAACTATATAAAGATGTCTTCATATTTACCATATCATTCGCCATATCGTTATTATCCATGATGAAGATATGAATTATAAAAACGAATCGCGTTAATGATTCTGTCTTTTTATTAACATAATTCATTTTATATATATATATATATATAAAACATTGAATATCCATTCCGTATAATAATTAATTAATGTATAGTAATGTATAGTAAATAATTATTATATTATATTATGAAATTTCTTCCTTTCTCTCTTAATAACGCAGTAACTACGTAATGCAAAATTTTTGAAATTCAGAAAAAGGAGACTCGAATTGAGCTTGTCAATAAGATTATAAATCAATTCCGAATAATAAATCTAACGTCTCATTTTTCATTTCCTATAGAACAATATTGTTATGTCCCTGAGTGGTTCTGGAGCAGCCGCCGCTCTGCTACATCCCAACGGCAGAATATATCAGTATGGCTCGCGGGTGGAAATCGTCGCTCATGACACGCACGGCAATAACAAGTTAGTTCAAGCTTCATCGCTATTTAATTTACGCATATGATCGCGCTAATTAATCACGCATATTTTGGCATATTTTGTCAGGTACGCAAAAATGTGGTACAAGGGAGTCAGTTTCACATCGGAACAATGCGCGCTTGTTTATCTGGTAGATACGGCTGGGACTAGAACCACAACGGATTCCTTTTCGGATATGAGTCAGGTAGAACAAGCTGAATAGGAAATATATATCCTACTTTTTACTTTTGTACTAATCAGCTCGACATCTCATTTTATTTTTCCAATTCGAATCATGCGTATAAATGATTGATTCTTTAAATCTAAATTTATTTTCTTTAAAGAGAATTCCGTTTTCTCTAATATTTTAAAAGATATTTCTTAAATTCTGAATCTTGATTTCATAGACTTCTTTATATGAATGTTTCTGATCGAAGCGTTGATTATATTATTCTTATCAATATGACGTTTAGAAATTATTTATTATAGCATAAAATCTGTCTTTTTTCGAAATATAGTCATTATTTCTCTACAATACTAACAATCATAGCTTCCAAAGAAAGTTATTTTTAATTTTTTGTAAAAAATTATTAAAATTTATTATTTATTTGTTTATTGTTTATTGTTTAGTATTTTGTAAAAACTAAAATCTTTTTGTAAATATTAATTCATTGATTGATACTGAATATTAATTCGCATAGTAATTATGACAGATTCCAAACGGCACGTCTTGATTAGCGAACCGTTAACTAATGATTAACCAACAATGTCTAGCCAACAACCGCTATGCCAATCAATAATGATGCCCAAGATGTTTATTTTCAATAGTTACATATCCAGCATTATTTAAAAAATTATTGATAAAGTTATAATAAACTTATCGTAATTTTTTATGAATAACTCGTAGGACTTTTCATTGAGCGTTTTCTATTCGGGCTCTCGTCATGGACCGGCATGCCTGCAGGAAGCTGCGACACATCTCAGCACAGCTCAGTACTGGCAAACGGATGAAAATGTTGAAAATTGGATTATCAATAATGTCAGAATATCTCAGACTCCCGATGGTCTTGTCAGGTATCAATGTTTAAACTCACCTATATTTAGAAAATTAGAAATAAAAAAATTAGAAAAATTTCGCGTCTGCCAATAATAATATATATTAGATATAATTCAATCTATATAATAGATTGAATTTGTGATCTCTCACTAAATTTATCTTAAAGAGTTAAGATAAATTATATAAATAAATTACATTGACTCAAATAATTTTACTTCATGCTAAGATTCTTGCTGTGATCATCTAGATTGCTGATGTCACAGGAGTGACAAAACATAATATAAATGTAAAATACATTACAATGGAAATAGTTTTTTCATTAACGTTTGTAATATACAAAAAGAGACGTAGTATATAAAACTTGCAAAATATATTGAAAATTTTCCTTTTGTGCCAGTAATTAATAAATGATATATATTCAGAAATTAATTATGATTAATCTAGAATAAAGTCATAATTCTAAATATATAGTTATTGATCACCAAAGCTAAAAAGAGAGTTTTCGATATATTTTACAAATCTATTTTATTGACTATAGGCATTGACATGATGTCATTAAAAAATATTTCTCTTTTATATTTTTCTTATATTTTTATATTTTTCTTTTTATATTTTTCTTCTTATATTTTTATTACGTATTTTTTCGCCTTTGTATGACGTCACGATCTAAAATGATAAAATAGAGAATAAGAATCTTAGATTTCGTCATTGTACAATGATATTATACATATACAAAATAAAAAGAGAAAGAGAGAAAGGGAGAAGAAAAGGAAAATTGAGAGGAGGTAGAATACACGTATAATTATGAAGGTATTTCTCTCTATTGCAAACTGCGTAACTGAGTATTAAGACTCGGCTCTCTTGCTACGAACATATTGAATTATGACGTCAGAAATGAGAAATGACAAATGCAAAAGGTTTCTTATACAGCTTATAGCTTTATTTCGTAGCTTTTCCTTAAAAGCATGATATCTTCATATTCTTAAAACTTATAAAAAAATATCAGAAAGTAAGATAAAATAATAATCATTGCTCAGCTATCAGAAATTAGGTCTACTGATCTGGTGATTTCTGATAACTTAATAGTGTACCATTATTTCAAGATTTATTTTACACTTTTACGTGATCTATTGGACAGATATCTTTCCAGTATTGTTTACAATTTTAAGTAAACATCGTTTTTAAGGAAAGATATAAGATAAAGTTATAACGATGCAAGAAACTTTTTGCATGTTATCTCTTGCCTCTGGCGTCACATAACTCACGATGCTCTCACGCCGCAAAAGAGTCGAACCTTGAAAAGCTGTAATAGTCTAAAAATATATTTTAACATTATTTAAGATATATTTTTAATCTTTTTCATTGCACAATAGAATTGCGCGAAATAGCAACAAGTATCAATTACGTACATCACCCAGCAATGGAACAGCATCCTTGACGACACCTTTCTTGCACTGTACGGCATCCTTAGGACAAACGTCCCACCTATTTGTTCGTCGTGGTGAACGTCGTATGCACTATGATGGCACTAGCTTCATCGTGAGAAATGCGGGTCATAGCGCCGGTTTTGACGACAACAACCAATTAAAGGTTTACTAAGAGAAAAGTCTCGCGGATAACTCGACCTCTCGAGCTAATTTATCTGCAAAGGAGCATCGAAGCGATGAACGCACGAATGCGTTCTGGTGCAGCGTGATCAGTTAATTTCAAACGACAAAAGTTATGTACTACTTTTGTTGAGAATTTGAACGAAACTAAACTAGATTACAATTATATTGAATATTTTAATTGTGCTTATGCTCTTCTACATTTAGAGGATTACTCGAATCTCATTTTATTAGAGTTTAGTAATTTAATTGAATTATACCTTAACCATCCGATATGATGCGGCAAAACGTTCAATAAAAGATTCAACCGAGCATCTTATTAAATTAATACTTTATTATTGTAATTGCCATATTTTTATTATAATAAATAATGATATCTCAAGAACACATAAAAATTTATATTTATTTATACAACACAAATATATTTCTTGAGTGATGCACGCACGCACGCACGCACGCACGCACGCACGCGCACAGTAATAAACTAATTATATTTTATAATTTCCTTTATCTATCATGTTAGGAAAAAAACGGATTACTATATGTATTTTATTAGGCCTATAAAATCAGTTTTAAATAGAAGTTTATCTTTGCAATTCCACAGTGCAGTTTTATTTATAAATTTAAACTAAGATTAAAAAAAGATTTGTAATGTTTCTTTTTTTATTTATATCTAAATTAATATTTATCCATACTTGAATCAATTATTGAATTACATACATACATACACACTCATACATACATACACACTCATACATACAGAATATTTTTCACATCTCATCTAGGGGATCTGTCTCTGACTCATCTTCAGATTCTAATCCTTTCTCAAATGCTCGTCCTATCTTGGCCAAGATCTGATTCTTGCGAAAACGGACATTGCTGAAAAAATTACAATTGATGGTTTAATTCTATACGCATAACATACTTATTTAATTTCACATCATGAATTATCAATGTGAGATTTATGTATAAATGTAAACATTTTGCACACTTTTGGAAATCATAACTATTTTTTATATCAGTTTGTTGTTGAGTATAAAATAAAGTTTTCTCAAAAATATATTCTAGAAATTATTTACCGCTTATGATTTTTCTGGATTTCGCTCAACGCCGATGACGCTTTACTACAGCTGGCACTTGTCTCATTGGATTTGACAAATATTCTACTTTCTGACTGTATCGTGCGAATATCATCAATAATATTATCTGCTGTACTAGCGTCATAAAATTGCAGACTAGTATCTTCTTCTGCATCATATAAAGCACGCTTTTTTTCTTCATAAATTTTGCTTAATTTGCTGATAGTTGACAAAAGTTTTCCTGGTGCTGCTAGTTCCTTGATTTCTGGCATTAAATTGACATCCAACTTAGGCTGTTCTAATTTTTTATAAAAGTGCCTCTCAATACCATACTATAAATAAAAAAAAAAAAAAAACAATTTGTATAAGAAAATATTTTTCATTATATAGATATCAACTCATCTTCTAGTAAAATTTACTTTCACTGTTATAATATTTATCATTAATTATTTTATTTATTACTATTATTTATTATATAATTATTATTAATATTTTATTCATTAATTCATAATTTAATATATAATAGTACATTTTATTAGCCTAATATTGCATTAAATAAAAAAATTATACATTTTTTTAATTTTACATATTTCCAAGTTTTAAATAGAGGATTTTTAAAAAAAGACGTAAAATTGTTTATAAATGTAAAATTCAATTAAAAATTAATCAATTAAAAATCAATTAAAAATTATCAATTAAAAATTAATCCATTAAAGTTAAACCTTGTATTTTCTATTTATTTTTAGCTAGATTAAATTAAATTTTGTTTGACATTCTAATGAAAAAGATTATAGTTATCTCTCTCCTTTTTCTTGTCTATATCTTTTATTCTTCAAAACTTTGAAAAGCTTATAGTGATATCTATAATATCTATAATTGTATAAAAAAGTATTTTCAATCAGTATATAATATATACCTCTCTATCACTAATGCAATGAATAAATGCACGATCGACGATCAGTTTGCATAAAATGTAATTAGCGTCAAGATATTCTTCCTCTTTGATTTGATTATGCAATTCCATCAAACGATTCCAATCTGACAGAGTCATTCTAATCTTCAGTTGCCTTATTGGCATTTTATAATATATTCCATATGTAAGATATAAAGCTCCAATACGTTCCTTTAAACTGGATGCATTCACTAAAAATTGCTTTGTTATACAAAGAGCTTCTTCGCAAAACACAGTTAAAGCTGCTTCGGAAGGATGATAGCTGCAAGTTTTAAATATTAATTTTCTGACAAACTGAATCTGACTATCTTCTGACATATAATGGTATAATTTAAATCTTAGGCAGAAAGCTGGAGAGCTTATCAAGATTTCAAAGCAGACCATCTTTTTTATTAAAGAATTAAATACACACGCAAAAACCAAGCCAAATTGCATATCCTTCCAGATCTCACAGAAATTTTGAAAGTGAGTATTATAAGATAATTCGAAACGTGTTATAAGCGCTTGACAATCTGTGCGGAAAGCTTCCATTAAACGTTTCTCTGTTAACAGAAGACAAATATTAATAATGTAATGTTATTATATATAATTACCATTCATGAGTTTTCAAAGAAATTTTTATTGCTTTACATTTTATTATACACATGTTTCATATGTAATATATATCTTTTTTATATTTATTCAATATTTCAAAATTGATAGGAAGTGATTATTCTCAACTCGATTTATTATATTCTTTTCAATAAAACAAACATTGCTTACGCTGCGAAAGGTATTGATGCTGCATGATTCTGTATTTCTGTTCTGCAAACAAGAGTTTTATTCTAGATAGAAAAAAATGTTTATTTTAACTCGCTTATTTTGGATTTCGATAAAAATATACTAATCGATGTGTTTTTGCATAAAAACAAAGATTTGAGTAAAAAAATGCGTCGCTTTGTTTTGCGAAGCAAGACATAAAGCATTAATATTAACTTTCCAGATTAAGGGTTAGGGTTGGTTTAGTGTCAATCCACAATAGGTTATTTAAGCTTTAAGAATTACGGCTTAAAGATTAAATATCTATGTCTCGGTCCACAATGATGTCGGTCCACAAATGGACCGTAGCCTATGATTCGTCAATTTTTTACGATTACGACATAAAGCCAGCGGCGATGCTTTTTTTCCTGCTGATTTGCTAGCTGGATTTGCGTGCTTGTTGAGCTCTTGTCTCTGATTGGTATATTCTTTTGGATCTAAAAAAATATACCAATCGAAGACAAGAATTCAACAAGCACGCGAATCCAGCTAGCAAACTAGCAAGAAAAAAAAGCATCATGTGCCGCTGGTTTAAGTTAACAGATTACGGTCTTCATAAACCAACTCTAAGGTCTGTTCTACAATGCGTCGTGTGTCGGTGTTGCAAGCCGCAAGTCACAAGAATTGACCAGTCATAGTCGAGAGGATACTTGATTGTGATTGGCCCATTCTTACGGCTCATGATTTTCAAGTATTTTCCCCATATTCGTCTGTGATTGATCAATTTTTATGGCTTGCGGCTTGCGACACTGACATGCGGATTGTAAATCGGCAATAAAGATTTGTGGATCGAAGCGGGATTAAAATAAGCGTAATTTATCGCGTTTCCATCGACTCAAATCTAGTTTCTACGTCATATTAGGAGCGAATTAAAACATCGGTGGAAACTAGACCAATGATCCTCGGGCGGGAGTATCTTGCCGCGCGCTTGTATTGCCGATGAGCTGGACTAATACGGTGATTTTTAATAATTAACATTTCGAGTATTATTGCGAATATCACAAAATGATATGGGACTTTTATGTTCATCTCGGTCCCATCAATTTTTTTTACAAGCGATGGCAGAAGTCTCGCGAAACACCATGTATAAATCCCAATCCATAAGGATAATGTCTGGACCCACAACGGCATTAGAAAGTGTAATAGTGTATATCTATATTTAATATATCTACATATAAAATACAATTGTGCACATGTGGTTCTGTTGCGGAAAACCTTACGCTTTAATGCGTCCAAGTTATTTCTAGCGGCAAGTGGATCGCACCCATCTATATGCATCGTAGACGATGTCTTATTGGTTGAATTCGCGGGCCAATAGACGTACGGACTAAGTGAAAGCGCGCAACGCTGCCGCAACGCCACAAGCACGCTCAATAAACGGCGCTAGTGTCTGTCAAATGTCACAGTCGTTCCCGTCGGCCGACAGTGTTGCGAGACTTGAATCGGTGATTTAATTAGGAATAACGTACTTCTCTTTTTTTTTAGTAAATTGTGAAACTTTAAGCAATAATGACCGACAAGAAAGGTAACTATATGCCGCTCGTTACCATTTAATTGCGTGTAACGTATACTGACAGAGGAAGGGAAATATACACGCATCTACACGGGCATATATATATATATATATATATATATATATATATATATATATATATATATAAGACGCGCGTCACATATATGTATACGTCGATACGTACACAGGCACGCGTGCTCACCTACAAAAACACACATACACACACACACACACACCACACACATATGTATAGCTACATACATCCAACATACATACGTACACATACACATACACACACACAGAGCACACACGCACGCGCGCGCGCGCACATACACACATATATATGTATGTGAGATAAGCCGTACTTCATCATTTGTCACTCGATGCGACGATTGGTCATCATTTGAAGCGACGTCGTCATCGACGCGACTCCTGGTGCAGACGGTCTATAACGCGGTATGGCGTTACCTGCCCTTCGCGCGTTGAGCGGGCAGACACACCGGTACGGACCGCTTGAATACTTGGCCCGGGTTGACAGGACAAATCAATACCGCGCATCGCGTTGGGAATACAAAATGGCCTCCGGAGAATTGTTCGTTCTCTTATTGAAAAGGAGCAATGAAAGAAAAAGTTTTCTCGTATTTATGCCGCGAGCTGCCCAAATCTTTTTCATAAATTTTTCAATTTTTATGTTCTCTAAGTCTTATAGATTTTAATCGGGACTCTTCAAATGCTATTAATGCTACTAAAATTTTCATGTTTTCAAATCTCTGAATTCTTATGTCCCAAGTTTTAATTTCTTTCTAGTTTATAAGTTATACTTGCATTATCCTTGAAATTCCCATATGAGCTTAAAATTTTTAATCTACTTTGTAAAGCAGATTTTTGTCGCAGTTTTTCACAACTAATTCCTTTGAACCTTCTCAAATTCTTGGGATTCCTATTCTTTATTGTTATTAAATTCTCATTTTTCTCTTTTTCGGCATTTATATCCTTATTATATATCCTTTAGACATTTTCCGTTTTTTATTTCCTTTATTGATTCACATTTTATTTTCAAATTCTTGTATTAAACTTGAATTTCTCTTAACATTTTGAATTCAGAGCTGTTTATTATAAAATATTTTAATTTTTGATGATAAGATATTATGTATTAAAATGACACCTCAGCCACCTTAGAAACATAGATTATTGAATTGATAGATTATTTTATTTTTTCTTAATTAATATTGTATTTGATAATATGAAATCTTGATTTAAAAAAATACGTATATTTATTTTTCATATAGTAATGAGATCATTGCCAAATTGTTATATGGTTAGTCAAGCTCTTGCACGGAACACTTTTTTTAAATAACATACACGTGTGTGTATGTTGATGTGTATTATGTATCAAGAATTAAAACATGATTTTGAACTGTGCTATATAAAGATTCCAAGGATACAAACTTATTCTTTTTATTTCGTGTTTGAATCTTTGATAAACCAGGAATTCCGGAGGTCATCTCTTTGTATTACTCAGTTGTGTTCTTACAGATGTAGGGGCTAGTTACAGAAAGTGAGAATGCGCAAACGCCGTGTATAAGGTGCATGATTTAAAGGACCCGTAGAACTTAAGAGTCAGAATTTGACAAAAACAGTTTCGTTATCGATAACGATCGAACAAACATTGGAGTCAAGGCGATTGTGCGTCTGTTCATTTGCTCAAGTCATTCCAGGTATTGGAAGGTACATTTTTGTTTCTTCCGCACGGAACGCGAGATCTGAGATACCTGGAAAAGCTTCGGCAGAGATTTATCCTTGTCATGTAAGAACGATAAAACCTTGACGGTTGACGGCGACATTTCATTACCGAGTCTTTCCCTAAGCAGGTGCTGCGCTTCTATAATAGAACGCAGTATTATAAGGATATACGTAAAGTTTAGCCTGTAAGTGGAGGGCTGATATGCCCTCTTTATCATAATAATTGTTGGTAATGTGAAGATAACGTTATGTACTGCTGCGAGTCTGCTACCGTTTATACTTATGGCAATGTAGCAGCTGAGCGAAGGGATAGTGCCTACAGTTTGGCTGTCAATATGTTTGCAGCGGACCATTACAAAGACGATTTGATCCCAGTCAGTAGGTGGAGCTCCGGAGACCGTCGCAGCCTAAGCCACGTATCTAACCTCACCTTACTCTATATATTACCTTAACTCACTACGTGTTTATATACCAACATATATTATGTATACACACACATAAATATATATATTATATATAAATATGTATATCACCTGTTATGTTAAGACTAATGTAAGGACAATTGATTGCTTCTAGCTGATCGCGTTACTTTTTTTTTTTTTTTACATTGTGCAGCAAAAATGAGACATTGTCATAAGGATTAAATGATTCGGTATATTTTGTTTTAAATGCATCTGTGAGGAAGTTATTACATTTTTCTCCGCATCTGGTAATTTTTTTTTTTTTCTTTTCTTTTTCTTTTTTATTAGAAAATAATGGATGATTCTTCTATCTTGCCTTTAGAAGCAATCGCTAGTCTTCTGTTAGACTCAACATACATAAAGATATAGAATGCACCAAGCGTCTCTCGATTTAAAGCAGAAAACGCCCCACGTTTAAATCGCGAATTACGTGACTTTCGACACAGCCATGCTTATGCTCTGAAGGTTTGAAGGTTTTCAGAGATTTGTATTTTCAAATCCAGATTTTCCAGGTTTTCTAATAATCAGTCATGATCTAGCGTCTTATCTCTTCCAGTTTTCCATTCTAAGAAGTGGATATACGACTTGTGCTAGAGAGGCGCTAAAAATTTGATGAAAAAGAGCGCGCGCATGGGATTCGAATCTGTTTGAATTTTCGTGGCTGTGGGCGTCACGTGACGCCGCGTTCACGCCATTCGACTGGGCGCTTTTGGAAATCAGAGGCGCGGGTCGCTATATATCCAAATCAATATGATCGTAAGATATTGATATGGGTGTACCAATATATTATACTGGAATTTCGTGATATTGGCTGATTGCTTTATTCACTATTCTTTTAGGCTCTTACTTTTCCTTTTTTTCTTTATTATTCTACGCCTGACATGCTCGCGCACGTATGCACATTCATAGTACAATTGCGATCATCATATCTTTTGATGTCAATCGTAATATAATCTATTGTAACGGAATAATTTATCAATATCATTGCGTTCTATTGAATTTCATTGCATTGCAGTTTCCATTGGATTTTAATTGAGATAAAATGTGTTGAAAATCTTTTTCACAAATTTCCAATAATTTACCAGTTACCAGTTGATAAACCTTTTTCATACATAAAATCTAATCTTGCTATATTATCAATTCTAATCTCTTGTTAATTACTTACCATTTTCCAAATTATCCAAATCCATAATTTCTAAAAGGCAAAAATTTCTTGCGCGCGCGTGCACGGCGGGTTTTGGGTCTTGCGGGTGTACACGAATGCTGTATCTAAGCTCGGCGTATACTTTTGACGATATTTTTATCTTTTTAGGAAGTTGCTAGCTCACTTTTAACAAATAGTGCATGTACCGCTTTGAGCTGCGCCACAAATTTCCCGAGTGTCATAATATAAAACCATAATATAAAACCTCGACAATATAAAGCTCTCGACTCGGAAGAATTAATTTGAAGAAGATTCGTAACAGAAAGAAAATAAAATTATTGACTGAGGAAATTCGTGGTAGCGTGGCTGCATGTCGTAGATACGTGATATCAGATATAGATATCTTGATTTTTTTTCTTGATTGTAACGTAATCTTAGATCGATTCTTTAGTAGCTTGAGAGTAGTTTTGACTTGGACATTATAGCGAGAGAAGCGGTGAATCACGAAACGTAATTTCACGTCCACCGTTACGTTGCAAGCTCGCGGCTTTTACGTGGCTGACTTCACACACAACAGTGACAAAAAGAAGAAGAAAAAAAAAGATGAAGCATCCGTGAACGGTGAGAAAATTCAAAGTGAAATTGCGTTCCACCTTTAGCATTTCCCAGTAGGCTTCCGTACAAGTATGAGTTTCGATCTTGCTACGACTTGTACGATCTTATATTGCTCGCATGTTAAAAAGAAAAAAAATTTCTCTTCGATGATAGAAAAGGCGCGATCGTCCATTCTCTGAGGGGAAAAAAAAAGGAGAAAAAGGAGAAGAGAAGGATGATTGTGTCCTTTGCTGTCGTTGTTTCTATAATCGTGCATGTTTTTTTTTCTTTCGATATGCTGTTTTAATCGGTTCTCACGATTTCGCTTTGGACATTGTTACCTCATCCACGTTCGATTCCTCCTCAGGATGCGACTGACATTTTGTCAGCAAAGGCGGAAGATCGAGCGGGTTGATGTCATCATTTTTGAATTGTCATATTGTTGTGTGATCACCGTAGTTTTGTAGATATTTCTTAGTGCATCGCTCCGGAAGACTCGTTCGCGTTTCGAACGGTACAAAAGTTTCTTCGCATCCATCGTGAAAAGTCATATTGTATTTTATTTATTACACATTTGTAATATTATCTTAGTATATTTTATATTTTTTATCAGGAGAACTCCACCAATCGATTGCGGCGTATTCTTCCGGTGTCGTGATCTGCATGCGCATGATTGACAGGATTTGTAATTGTGTACATTGTTAATAGTGAGCTTAAACGAAATAGCATTCGTTGATACGCAGATCGATACTGGATGAGAGTATCCTCTCGTCGACGATTTGGGGATTATCAGGAGAAAAAGGACGGATTTTGGAAAACATGAAGGTTTATCTCTAATCGTCCGTTGCATTTGTTTCTTACATAATTCTAAAGAGGTATTCTTACTTTTGATTTTCCTTCTGACAATTTTTATCGTTTAAATGAAGATTTTAAAGTAAGAGATAAAGTATCTTTCTCTTTTCTTTTATTGTACATTATTGGATTTGCAGATACTCGGTATCATAGATTCCTAATTTTTAATTTAATTTCGGTTTCACAAAATGCACATCCACGTTTCCGTCACACTTCCGGTAATCTTGCTCGTCTCGTGGATACATCTTACTATCTTGTCTTTCACGGAAGCATTTCGATAAATTGTCTGACAAAATAAATCTTTAATTTCGTTTGTTACTGTTTAATATGGGTCAGTGAAACAGACAAACAGAAAAAACAGAAATGAGAAAGAATAGAGCAAATTTAACTCTGAATAGTGTCGAACTGCTTATTGAGACCAATCGAAGAAGTGAAAGAGAAAGAAAGCGTGCATGCGTGCGTGGGTGCACGCGTGTGCGCGCGCGTGTATGTGTATACATGTGCGTGTGTATGTGACAGAATGAGAGAGAGAGAGAGAAAGAGAGAAATAAAGAGAAAGAAAGAAAAAAGCGATAGATACTTTTACCAATTAAGCCGTACTAGCATTAATATTATAATCGGTTGTGATTGATTCGATTGTTTGCACCGTGACACATAGACACTTGTTATTTCTCAGAGGTTGCGTGAATGTGCGGATGGACCAGTACCCAGAACGTGTAGCACAAATTCTTAAGTCAATCGATCGTGCAAGATAATCCATTTTAATATTTTTAACAGTTCGATTGATGCAATCGACAAAATAAAAGAAAATCAAGAATTAATACAATGATTTCACATTTTTCAATCTCAGCGATTTATAATTTTAATTTGAAAATACGAGCACTAAAAATTATCAGGAAGTAATAGTTCGTCAAAGTTCTAGTTATTCTTATCGGATTTATTTTTTTTTTTTTTTAATTCTTGTGGATTTTTGAATTTTCGAATTTTTGTTCTTTTTGGATTTTTCTATTCTCAAATTTTACAGGTTTTTTTTTCATAATTGCTCTTTTCAATTCTTCGTATTTACGGAATCTTGAAAATTTTGCTTTCTTTCTCGTAGATTATATATACTAGCGTTTACAAATAGATATTGAAAGTAAAATAAGTAAAATACTGCATTTGTGCTATCAAATGTTCATGAGATCACCGCGTGATAAGCTGCGCTGGATTGCTGGTTTCCGCTAATTCGAACAGCCTTTGGTTATATCATAAACAATTTGGTATGGGCTGATATTTATGTTAGAGTACGATATGTCTATGCAGCACCAGCGCAATCGCGCGCACGACGTCCGGAGGACAGAAAATCCTCGTTTTTTTGACTATCTGTATTCTTTCGCAAAACTCGATAGCTTCATAATTT